GTAATAGATCAAATAAAAGTATTTTTGGAAAGCACAAATTTATTAGAGAGAGAATTCAGTTGAATTACCGAGTTGATGTAATAGTAGCATTAGTTTAATTTAGTGTAAATATCATAGTTTTTCCCGGCTATCTCCTTTCCACACTCCAGTTCAGTAGGTGGCGGTAATGCACCTTTTGTTGGTCTACCAACCGCCTCAAAACTCAAGAAGAAGAAACAAGCAGAAGAAGAAGAAGACCGTCAGTAAAAGAGAAACAAAAGGCTGTTTTTAAAGAAATGTTTGATTGTAGTCCTGTTTTTTCTCGATAAAGCACTTTAAATGTCTAGTAAACAGTGTACCTCTGTTCCGGGAGGGTTTCAGTCCCAATAAGGTAAGAAATGTAACTTTTGACAAATTTTATCGTTACGAATGATTGAACTAATGCGCCTCAGCTAGCTAAGTGAACACGTAATCTGCCAACTCAGTCTCGGTTAACCTTACCCTGCACACCGGTACTATTACTACCAGGATTATATTTCATATAGTTCGAGTGAGGTGTTTAGTCACTTGTTTTTTTTGTAGAAATAYAACTGCTGAGCAGACATGTTGAGTCAGACAGACACTGAAGTCAAAGACCTTTTTCGGGAGAACTTGAACTCTGTTCACTCAAACCACTCTCCTGTCACTGAGTTACACTTTTTGTTAATGGTTTTCTTGCATTACAGTCTTAATTACACTAATCATGTCGATGTAAATAAAAACAAAATTAAACAACATTTCTACTGGTAGTAAAAAGGCTATTTCAAGATCTCTAAATCTGAAACAGTATTTAGAAAAACTACAAATAAGATGCCTGGAAGTGACTGGCACTTGTTAGCTGAAAGTAAAGTAGATTAGATTTTAAATCCCATCATTCAAGCTAAAAACCACAAGTGCTTTACACCAAAATATTATAATAATATACTTAAGGTATATGTGTAAGATTGATTATTATACTTAATGATGAGGACAAATGATTCGCTCTTCCTGTTCAAGTGTTTCCTCTGTTATTTAAAAGTCCAGTTTGTTCTAATAGATGAAGATGATTCAACACTGCTGTGACTGGGTTAGGATTACAGTAGGATTACAACGAAAACCTTTGACATATAATTTCTTTCTGTTTTCATCCAACTTGATATGAAGTGTTGATAATTCTCACTGTGTGTGTTTGTTGGCAAAAACTCTCAATCAGTGGATGGATTTAATTAAAACTTTCAGGAAACAATCATTGTATGCTTACAACAAAATAACTTTTGGAGTCAAAACAGTTTTTGGTGTCCACAGACAACTGACCTAAAGAAATACCTAAAAAGCTACACCTTGGACAATTTAAAGATGAGCAGATAAGCATCATGTCCAACACAAATTTTTAAGCACAAAACATTACACAACATCTTTGCTTAAAACCTTGGTATTAATTTTTTGTGTAAGACTTGTTTAATGTTAGCAAAATTTCTCATTAACCACTGAATAGATTTCAACAAAACTCAGCTATTCAAAGCACGTTTTGACTGTACACTTGTCTAAAACTGATTAACTCTTTCCAGTTCAAGATGTACACTGCAGTTAACTGACCTTAGCCTGCCCAAAGATATCTACATCTCAGCTGTTGTTGTAGCTGGGAATCACTCACAACACATTTCTAGCACTAACAAATATTGCAAAATCACATGATATTGTGATGTTGCATGTGGTCACACGTGACTTTATTTTCAAAGTTTGACATAAACTCCTGTAAACTTGTCCTCCTCCCCCC